TTTGTTGGTAGGTATAACAATAATCATTAATAATGTCCCATTCAATAAATAATTATCAATAATATTTACACATATTATTTAACAATAATAGTCACATATTATTTAACAATAATAGTCACATATTATTAAATGAATATTAATTCGGTCGAATCCATCTGTGCTGGTTTTAACGGCAAAGGTCAAATTTGTTGATAAACACGCACTTTTTGTGTTTCATTTTAGTTGTCATAATTTTTTATTGTACTTATATAAATGAGTTTTTTTTAACCTCCACTTTAAGAATGTAGAGTAAGTGTAATTAAATACTTTTTATATTGATTAATATTGTTAAATAAAAATTAACATTTAATATGATTTACATAATGTTACCAGTGAAAGTAATGTCGGCTTATATTTTTCATTACTGTTTTATATTTAAAAGGCACATTAATTGTACTTTTACATGTTAGTAAAATTCATTAAAAAATAGTTAAATTTCATATAAACACAATTATTATATGTTAATATATATTTTTTATATTTACACACTTAGTGTACTCATTTAACCAGGAGATTGGAGTAATTATTAAATTTTATTAAATGAGTGATATGAAATTAAATAGGAGTAAAGTTAGAAAGAGTACTTTTAATACTTTATTCAAAATAGAAATTGACAATTAAATTGTCACAATTTGTAAAAAAGTGTGATAACTAATTGGATTAAAGGAGTATTACGTATGATTTTTTAAGATATTTTATAGCAATTTGAAATTAATAGGTAGCGTTTTATCTAATCTAATAAATAAAAATATTTAAATCTTTATTTAATCAATAATTTCAATTTCTAGAATCGAATCTTTGTATCTAATGGTTTATTCCTAAACTTTAGTATTTGGTTTAGTTGATTGGGGAATTTGACTCTCACCAATTACAATTGAAAAATTCTCCCTTCTCCCATAATTCCCTATGTTAAAAAAAAAAAAATTCAATTTCTAATTACTGAATTACATATTTCCTTTTTCATTTTGCTTACACAGTTCTTAGAGATGGAAAAAGATAACTTTTACTAAATAAATTTGTGAAAAGAAAAAAAAAAAGTAAGATAAGATACTTTGGGATGGAAAGGGTAAGATTTTAAAATTATTTAAATTAATTGATTTATTATTAAAGTACTATCATAGTAAGGTATTGTTTTTCTAGTAAAATGATTAATTTAATAAAAAAATTATTAAAGATATGAAAAGAAGAAAACATATTTATTTTTACATTTTGTTAAGATTTTTTAAAAAATTAATTAGTATTGTTAAAGATATTTAAATTTTATGGCATCAATAAAATTTTCAACCCCTCACCTTTATTTTTTGCCCCCGCCCCTACCTTTAAGGTTGTTCAAAAAAAATATTATTAGTAATGATCAAGGACAAAACTATCAGGACATTATTATTTTAATTTGAGATCAAGTTTAATTAAATGATACTGTAATATTCACAGTTTATTTAATTCCTGTAAATTATGCCAAGGAAAAGACCAAATTCTCAACGTTTTCTAAGGAAATTTCTTGATTAACGCAAACGTGTCGGCCAAGAGGAATATTTCTTTTTTTTTTTTTGAACATGCCAAGAGGAATATTTCAACCATGTTGTAATAATAGAATAGTATATTTCATGCGAAGGAATTTGCCGCACTAACTATAAGAAAGTTTTGAAAAAAAGCTTCTAAAATAATTAATTAAATTATCAATCGATTTAAATAGTTCAACCTTCAATAATTATTTTTTTCTGTTAAAAATAAAAAATATTAAGTTTAAGTCACATAACATGCAGGTAAAGTGAAATAAAAAATAAAATAAAAAATAAAATATAATTGCTTTCAATTGTGTAATTAAGATAAAAAAATAATAATTAAATTATTTAAAAAATTATTTTTTATTAATATAATCATACTCTCATTCTTTTTTTTTTTTCAATTTTTTTTAATAAAGGTTTCAATCAACTGTTCTATTCCATAAAAAACTGTAAAAAGGTTCTTCTTAAAAAAAACTTAAGACGTTATTTGTCAATGACATTAATATTTGTCTTATTCATTTACCTTGATTTCTCTAAATCAAGCACTAATAAGTTTTTTCTCGGTCTGTAATGAATAATTAAATATTATTTTTGGTATAATTATATAGTATTTTTCATTTTTTTGTTGTAAGACCATTTCAAATTTCAACCATAATCAGATTAGATTATAAATACATGCATCAAACTACTATTCTGGTGTCTGGTGACTTGAAGGACGCTTCCTCACGTTTAGTTGGAATATAAAACTACTTTTTCAACAAAAATATTTTCATTCAAAAATTAATTTTTTTTCTTTTTCTCTAAAAATCCAATTTTATTTTTTTATATAAAATACGAAATTAATACAAGTATAGATGAGATTATATAATGAGTAAGGATAAAAGGATAATTTTTTATATTATTTATTTTATATAATTTTTATATATTATTAAATAAATATATATTTAATATCACAAGTATTAAATGAATAAAAAATTTAATTATTTAAAATTATAAAAAAATTGTTTTTGAATTATTTTGTTATATACAATAGTACAAATTCAATCACTTAATTAAACAGAACACATATAAATCAAAAAATTAAGATCCAAATTAATAAGAAAAATTATGAAAAATCTTCACATACTTTAGAGTCAAATTAGCACAATCTTAAAATTTTGAAATGTTAGTCTCTATGTTTTTATTAATGATTTAAATAATTTAATAGTAATTTTTTTATTAAAAATAAAAAATTTTAATTTCGAATCATATAATTTACAAATAAGATAAAATAAATGATAAAAAAATTTTACATTTCATTATACAACCAAAATAAATAAATCTCTATATTTTTAGCCACCGAACCAACTTTAATAAGGCCTAATAAGCAAAAATTCAATCCCGTAAAACATCAAGGATTGAAATTTAGCACCATGGATTGAAATTTAGTACTACATAAAATTCAGTCAAATTCAATAAATAATGGTGGTCAACGTTTTCGGAAAAATAAATTCTTGACCAAAATTTAAATATTTATTACAAGTTTGACCGCAGAAATTTTGTACTTCATTGCCAATAATGCATAAGCAAAAATATGGAAAGTTCATGAAAATTGAGGACTTGCCTTTTCTTAATTTTTTATTTGAATTTGTTTAAATAGTATAATAAATATATTTTTTATTATAGATTTATATTAAAAAA